GTGGGTGGGTGTTGGTGTGGGTGTGGGTATGGGTGTGGATGTGGATGTGGGCGTGGGTGTGGGGTGGGGGTGGGGGTGTGGGTGTTGGTGTGGGTGGGGTGTGGGTATGGGCGTGGGTGTGGGTGGGGGTGTGGGTGGGTGTGGGTGTGGGTGTGGGTGTTGGTGTGGCTCTTTTTAAAACACCCACACCCACACTCACACCCTCACAGCCACAGCCACAGCCACACCCCACACCTACACCCCACACCTACACCCCACACCCACACCCACCGACACCCAGACCGGGGCTTAAAATATCGATTATCAAAAAGTCGACATTTTTTGAAATACGTATAACCGTATCGACGATTGAGTACGGATGGGGTTCCTGCAAAAAATATTATTTTTCAGTTCGTTTGAATCAACTGTTTCTGTCATTGTAGTCGGAAAAATCATGTTACGATTAATCAACTCACCGAAATACAAAGAAATTAAGAAGTAGACACGTGAAAATTGATTACCATGAGAACTGTATCAATACCTATCAACATGTTACTAAAGAATATTAGGATTGAATCGTCTAATTATCTATGTGATTTATTGTCTATTATCAGCTGACTTCACAGCTGTAATGAAGGATATCAGTTATTCGAAGAGATTGGCGCCTAACTTTTCATACTGTTTTTGTTTTAATTATCTCGAACATTGAAAAAAACAAAGTACAAAAACAAGTTGCGTTTTTGCGCGACTCTTTGTAAACAAACGAAACTCTCTATTAAAGACCTGAAAACAGATGTTACTAGTTCGATGACGAAATTTTATTGTCGTGTTTAAACAAAGATTTTCTGTTTTTTCGTTTTTGAGATCATCCATAGGCAAAATGAGAACTTTTGATGGGTGCGTCGAGAAAGAAAAAAAAAAAGAAAACTTGCGAAGGACTAAACATAAATGCTGTGCTTCGCACCGCATTAATTAATTAATTAAGTATAATAATGATGTGATGCAGATTTATTGATGAATCGACGCTTGATATTGTATTAGTATCATAAAGAATTGAAATAAAATTCAAATATATTCATTTAGAATATTAGAAAGATTGAAATAAGAACAGAAATTCACTACATAAAAATAGAGATTCAGTTTTGCGATTGTTGAATAGTATTTTCTTTCTATATTGACGAAATAATATTTTATAGAAAGAATAATTGTATTTCATTTTTCTATACTTAGGGTATCTTTTAAGCATAGAATATTCGTTGCTCATTGACAATATATGTTTATTTGATCATCAAACATCAACAAGATCCGATTTCGGTTTTTTTACAAAATTTTAAATTGAAATATCAAGTCAAAGTGCTGTCCTTAAAAAGATCTGATTGAATTTCAAAAACCAAAATTTTCATATTTAATTTGTCACAAGATACAACTAAAAGCACAGTATCATATTAATAACGAAATGTCAGTTATTTTCAATAAATTGTGCATACAAAGAATTAACAAATAGCATTATATTTAACGAATTGAGAAAACGTTGCATTCAGGTCTTTCCTCTTTAACTACAATCTATTAATTAAATATTATGTTATTCATCAATTGTCTGTTTAGGAAATTTTTAATCTAACGGGTGTCCCAGATTAAATGGACCTCTGAGTATTTTGCATTTTTTATATCTAGAATTCGGCATAGAGAAAAAAATTTTTTTTTAGAGAGATTCCTTCTCAAATTCTCTACACAACGTACAGACTTGTATCATCTCAAATACTTTTCGTTATTTTGTGACATGTGATGCAATTGATTCGTCCAAGAAATACAACTTTCAAACAAGAAGTTTTTGTAGATAGTTCCGTGAGAAGTCAACCAAAAAATACGCAAAGTATTCAGAAGAGCTTTTTTTCATGTGAGACCTTTTGTAGAGCTTTTTTCGCTGATTATTTCGGTATAAAAACTTTTGAACTTCATTGAGAAATGACGAAGTAATAGTCGAAATATAAACAATCTAGAAACGCCGCTTTTTTCTGATTAGTAAGCACAAAAATCGATTAGCATATCCGAAAACGGCTGTATTGTGAAGATGTATGAGATAGTTGGTTTTGTAGAGAAAATTTTACTACACAAAACCCTCTAGGCGGTTTTCAAATACATTTGAATACTATGAAGAAATCTCCATAGAACATTGTAAGAGATATTTATTCTAAAAATAGAGAATATCATTTTTTTTAATATGAATATCGTGTATAATGTTTTATCGAGATTCATTCATAGTATTTCAGTGTATCTGAGAAACTGCCTAGAGAGTATTGTAGAGCAAACTTTTCTCTACAAAACCCACTGAGTTACATTTCTTTATAATACAGCAATTTTGAGATATGCTAATCCTACTAAAAACTTCTTGTTTGAAAGTTGTATTTCTTGAACGAATCAATTGCATCACATGACACAAAATAACGAAAACTATTTGAGATGATAAAAGTCTGTACGTTTTGTAGAGAACTTGACAAGGAATCTTTCTATAAAAAGTTTTTTTCTCTATGCCGAATTCTAGATACAAAAAATGCAAAATACTGAGAGGTCTGTTTAATCTGGGATACCCGTTATTTTGTTGAAAACGAAATGTGAAATATAGAGGAATCATACATTATTCATTTACACTTTATCTTTTTCTTTCTTTTCCATTAAAATCCACATTTTCACTACGTTCGTTTTCCATCGTTCACTGTTCGTTAAACGTTTTAAATAAAATGTGGAATAAAGTAAACACAAACAACAAAATTTATTTATCATATGAAGACATCATGTGTACTTTTTAGTGAAAATAATGCGTACAATTTAACTGATCAAACATTATTTATTCTCACTAATTTTGTATTGTAAATATTATCTTTATTTAATGAAATATGAACTAAAAGAAGTGTTGAACTATAGAGAGAGATTTTTCAACCAACTCTTCTAACAGCTTGTTTTTCTATCGAAATATGTCAACTGTTTACTAAACAAATTTTATCTTTTCTTTTAGATTCATCAATGATCTGTTTATAATTTTTATAAACATAAACATTTTCTATTAGTAAATATTCCAATTTTTTTTCTTTTTAGATTAATCAATCACTTCCTCAATAATTTCATTGATTATGTGTTTATTAACTTTCTAAACAGAAATGTTTTTATTTCTAAATAACTCATTTTTTTAATTTAATATAAGATTTTTTTTTTGTTTTAGAATAAACAATCATCTGTTCATTTGATTCATCAATAATCTGTGTATAATTTTTATTAACACAAGGTTTTCTAGTAGTACATATTTCAGTTAGTAATTATTCAATAAAAGATTTTTTTGTGTTAGAATAAAGAATCATTTGCTCATTTGATTCATCAATTAAATAAAGAAGAAGTTTTTCTAGTAGTAAATATTTGAATTATTATTTATTTAATAAAAGAATTTTTTTATTTTAGAATAATTGATAAACTAATGATTAAATTCGTCAATTAAATAAAGAAGAAGGCTTTTTGGTAGTAAATATTTCAATTATTACTTATTTAATAATATGATTTGTTTTGTTTTAGAATAATTGATAATTTGCTGATTAAACTTATTCATTAAACAAAGAAGTAGGTTTTCTAATAGTAAATATTTTATTTACTATTTATTCAATAAAAAGATTTTTCTTTTTTGTTTTAGATTAATCGATCTTCTTTTCAATAACTTTATCAATTATCTGTTAGAATTTTTATAAACAAAAAGTTTGCTATTAGTAAATATTTCAATTATTATTTTGTTTAATCAAAAGATTTTTTTAGGATAATTGATAATCTAATGATTAAATTCATCAATTAAATAAAGAAGAACGTTTTCTAATAGTAAATATTTCATTTTATTATTGAAATAATAAAATGTTTTTTTTTGTTTTAGATTCATCGATTATTTGATTATCTATGTCATTATCAGATGCTCATTAACCTCCTGGATACCGACAATTCTTACTTTCTTTACGATCTTATAGAAAAATCGAAAAATCAATCTGTTGCGTTCTACCTTCGTGAATCAGCTGTATACATGTATATATAATCGTATATGAAACGTGGATTGATACAGCTGTATTAATGAACATTTCGTTTCACAGCTGTTTATCGATACGACAGAACGAAAAAAAAATTCTTGCGTTCTGCTTGTCTTCAATCTGAAGACAGCGGTATCCAAGAGGTTAATTTCGTCTATCACAAAGTTTTATCTTGGTAGGGACTGGTTTTCAATAAATATTTCGAAGTTTTTACAAAAACTTTGTTTTAGAACAATGCCACTTGAACAACGTACAACAGAAGAATGGAAATAATAATAGTCGTACTCGTGAACCAAATCTACAAAATATAGAAGATAATATGCATAGTGATTGTTTATCCTTAAAGATTGTCGATATGTACATTAAAATTGTTCAGTTTTTAAATTGTATACAACATTTCATGAACAGCTCATCATACAAATTAATCTCTGGTGTATGTTGTCTGGTCATTTTAATTTTTTTTTTGGTTATAAGATTCTAGACTCTTATAGTGAAGCTTAGAGCTCATTACCATCAATTAATGTTCAGGAAGAAATGTTAGAGAAAATATTACAATATAAGTTGTATACATATTTTCTCAACGACAAGGGCTTAGTCTGTAGCAAAAATGATACTAATGATCGTTATGATGTATTATTCCGATTTATTGTCGATGAATTCACTCATATTAAAATAAAACATGATAAAATCGATTTATTAACTAATGATTGTTCGTATATTAATATGTTTATTACTTCATTACCACTAATTCTCAATCTTTCCTGGTGGACAAATTTTATTACTACATTAATGGCTGTAAGAAATAAATTATTAACTGAAGAATCAACAACAAATTCATAAAAAATAATGATATTCACACATATGTCTTTAGCTGGAATTTTATTATCTATTCACATGGCAAATGTATTACTTTTGTTTGTTGCTGTACTGAAAAAAAAGGAACATTGTTTAGATAAATTTATTTTTATGTTCAGTACCTTATATTAATAAACAAAAACTAGATGATTTTTATGTTGAATATTTCAAATATTATTACTCAAAGTGATTAGATCTTAATCAAATGATTATGTAAACATATGTCAGGGCTCGAAATGGGGTCTTATTTTCGTGGCCCAGCCCGGTCCAATGTGGCCCAGATATTGGTAAAGCCCGCCCGGCACAACGAAAATTCAGTTCAGCCCGGTTCGGCCCGGCTCTGACCCTCAGGATATTTCCTTTACAAAGATTTTTTTGATAAAATTGGAACATTACTTTGTTAACTCCCAATGTTTTTGAGAGCAGAGAAAGAGTGTGATAATCAACTTGATTCGACCAGATTGACGAAGTTGAAATAAAATCCATATGAGATAAGGTGATTTGCTTGTCGAGTCCACGAACAAACAAAACATGTTGAAAGGTATTTGAATTCAAAATAACTATTACACATTAGTTAATGCCGTTCGATACAGAATTTGTTTTCTTATGGTGAACCAATGCGAAATGAACTATATTTCTAAGTGAAAGTTTTTTGTCTGATTGTAACCATCTAGTGACATATGACAGGTCGGAAATAGTCTGTATGTAGGAACTAAAAACCTTTGATTCCTAAAGTTTAGATGTTCCGCTTATTCTTTGGGATTAAGTTGGCTTTAATATATAGTCGAACTTGCTAGATATCCAAACTCTTGGTATCAAAATCTTTTCTTTCCACATACAGACTGTCTCCAACTATATGTCATCTCACTCGGTGGTCAAAAGTGAGAGACAGTTTTTGTTCAGAAGAATGGCACCGAACCCGTAGGATTGTCCGATTTTCAGAAAGTGTATGCTTTCCATGGGTTCACCTGCTGATCAAATTGAACAATTAGATAAAGTGTTATTTGCAGTTCCTACTGTTAATGACGGTTATTTTCAACGCACTTTTTCTGCCGATCACATTTTCACACTAATTAACGTAAATGATACGTTACAGAATACTACATGTGGTCGAAAGATACAAGCAGTTTATGCAATTACTATGGTTTAAAATACTACTCGGACTGCAATCCGCATCATTTTGCTGCCATACAATTTTTAGTAATTTCTATCACATATAACAAGCATAAATTTTAAAAAAATACAAAAATGATCAAAAACGTCAAACCGAGCGCATTAGGAAATGTTATTATTTGCCTCCGAAATAAAAACGATAAAATTAACTTGACTCGATTCGAAAAATGGCATGACTCGTTCAGCCTGACTGGTGCACTTACATAACTGTAACTTCATAAAACAAAATAATCACTAGCTTTGATAATATGATCCAATCAGGACAGTATTTGATATGTATTAAGTTAAAATATTCAATTATTCTGTCTTTTAGCAATTAACGTACTAAAATAATTGACAGAATATGTAACACAAACCGAACGAAATAAATTTCAAATATCTGATTTAATATATTCTCTTATCAATACAGTTGAATATATTTTCCCGTATCATACTTTATATGAGTTTCTAGAAAATCGCATATCATTCTCAAAATCAAATGACTTTTTCAGAGAAAGGGAGGTTGACGATGAATGCCCAGATCCACTTATAAGCGCACATAGCACATCTCTCTCATTGAGAATAATTGAACATATGAATATATGAAGTTAATAATTAAATAATAGAATATATGAATATCCGAAAGAGACAAGAATAATTCAATTCTTATATCATAAATTTTGTTCTTTGCCTTGACCAACATCTTGTTTATTCTTTTCTATTGTTTTTTTTTCTTGATACATTCATTAGGGTTTACTCTCGATTCGTCCCAAATTGGTCAATTATGTGATTCGTCCCTTGCATTAAAGAGTCACTTTTTAGTAATTCTCAATTTGTCCCTCACCTATTTGTCCCTAATTGGTTATCAACTAAGTTTAGTATTCTTGAACACTTATATTTTTGTATCATACATTTTCGTTAAACAAAAGTTACAATACAGAATCAACAATAATAAAGCATAATTTTCTATTGTTATTTTTTGAACAATCGTGTCTTAACAATACGACCACATTGTATAGCCAGTTGTGCATCACTAAGCTTTTTGTTCTTGTGTTCTTCAAGAAGCATAGCAAGTTTAATATCAATTTGATCGTAAATTTCCTTACGTCTTCGTAATTGAACTTCGCTTTTTAGCAACATGATGCTGGTATTCATGTTCCGTCCGGTGGGCGAGGATGTAAGGATTTAGCCTTATGGATCTTCCAATTATATATAAAATTGATTGACAGTTACGGATAATTTCAGAAGAGATAGATAGGTGAGGGCGAATTGAGAATCAATTCAGAATGACCTATTTACGCAAAGGACGAATTGAGAATAAGAGTTAAGGGACGAGTTACATGATTGATTAATTGGGGACGAACCGAGAGGATCCCTTCATTAGTATTAGAAACCGAAAATGAAGCATCAAATCAGAGTGAGTTTTGTCTATCAAAAAAACGATTTTTATTCAAGGCGAAACATGGTAGGAATAAAAAATCTTTCCCGCTTCAGATTCTGATGTATTGCATAACTTGGTAGGTATCACATAGACTTTATGTATATTACATTCTCCTCTGTTCATTTTACTCTGGAAAAAAAAATCAAAAATAACTTCTATTCTCCTTCTTCTCATTACTCTTGTTCTCTTTGAAATCGGTGTGTCAAGAGCAACAACATAGTCTTTTGTACAATGTAACTGAAATTATCTTATTGATAAACCATGGAGAATTTAAATTAATCAGTAAATATTAGTGAAGTTTTCGATAAATTAATAGAAGAAAGGTTTCATCAAAGAATATTTTTAACTCTATAGAAGAATATTTTTTGTGTACTCAAAAAGTAAGTACACTCTAGAATCGGTCAGTGTGTCCGGCTGTTCACACGATAACCTTTGAAAGGAGAGTACGTTCGCGATGAAATTTTCTACACAGTTCAGTCTTGACAATGCCTCGGTCGAGTTCGAAGACTAGAAGAATTGGCCGAACCGTTCCTGAGTTATTGCAAAAATACTCATTCTTCCCTACGGCTTCCTATGCGAAAATCGACACATCCTTGCTTTCGTAAAAAACTTTTCCTATCATACTCAAAGAAAACCTCAACTATTATATACCATTAGATAGAGAATTTTACGAGCTACCAAATGGTATATAAAACATAAAGAAACAAGAAGGCTAGCTCACCTATTGCAAAGATAAATAAACGGAAATCGGTTCTGTTCTTGTCCACGCTGTAACTGATCCACAATTAGAGCACTATCTTCTGATAAGCGGTGACCCAGAACGAGCATTATGGCGGCGCGAAATGGCCGCACATGGCCGTTTATGGGGGCGTATACGGCCGTATTTCACCGATCTTATCAGGACCAGAGAGCGTCACAGGGCAGGGCAAAACTTTTTGCCCTGATTCAAAAAAGTTTTTAACAGAATCTGATTAAATTCTGTATTTTTATTCGAAAACCGATTAAAATGGCAATATTCTTATTGAATTTTAGCCTAATTATTTGATGTTCAATCGATTAAACTTTGTTACTAGATCAACACTTTTGTATTTCATTAAAATTTATTTTTCTAGTACCTTTTTAAAAGAAGTTTTCATGTCAGAAGACTTTCTTGCTCAGCTCAAGAAGTGTATATGGATTAAAAAAAAGTTTAACCAAGGAGTCCAACCAAATGTTGCCTGTTAATCTAAAGAGAAGACTTTATTCAGCTCTGTTGAAAAATGGCCGTCTTTAGTTTAATAGCCACAATAAATAAACAATCATTTTATATTAGAAGTTCGTTCACAGAAGCACAACAAAGGCAAAATAGAAGCTAGTCTGATTCCTAATTTTGTTTTCAAAAATTCTGAAATTTCTTTAGATTTATTAATGTCAAGCTTGGTTTTTGAGTAACAGACAATTGTTTTACAATTAAAATTACTTTACTCCTATTAAACAATTTTTTTTTCAGTAAAAAACTTAGTATTCTGCAATATTTAGCTTCTAAAACGTCTACCAACGATAAAAGACTAAAGTTCAGATTTAAATTGATTGTTTTTGGATTAAAAATCAATTGTAGTAGCACTACTTTAATCAGATTTTGTCATCTAATAGACAGATTTCATTCGATTTAAAATCTTTTTTCATCTATTATAATCGATGACTCAAAATAAAGCAATTATAAATGATTATTAGAAATCGATTTCAATTGATTAAAGTTATTTCACCCAAAATATTATTAAAAAATCTTACAATTAAATGAAATCTGTCTTTTTGACTGAAAACTCTGACTAAAGGCAGTCTAAAA